TCCACTCTGGGTGATGCTGGCTGCCTCCTCTCCGGGTGATGCTGTCTGTACTCTGGGTGATGCTGGCTGCCTCCTCTCTGGGTGATGCTGGCTGCCTCCTCTCTGGGTGCATGTCTCTGGCATGCTGCTTTGCTTTGTTTTCAAATCCAGGGAGCCGTCTAACTGTAGCCCTCAGTATGTAGCATCTGTTTTAAGTCCTGTTCAAACTGGCAACAACATCAGATTTCACTGTGCATTCCATGCAAAATATTCTTGAGAAATTATGGAATCCCTCTAGTGAATAAAACATATTTAATGAATGAAGAGGTTAGTGTTTCATAAACCCAAGAAAGTGTAAACTGACTTCCACTATCAACAGTTTCAAATCAATTTGGAGGCATTTGGAAAGCATTTTAAAGAGCAACTAGACATCAATAAAATTTAATTAATTTGTTCTATGGATGCACATGTAAATTGGGTGTTAATTATGCCAGCAATGCTCTTCCATTAAAAATTAAGCTCATGATTAGTAACTGAGAAAAACAAGCCATCTTTCTATAAACAAATCTCATTCTGTTGTATCTGAAGCCAGTCTTTGGTAATTAAATCATAACTGCATTTCCTCAGATAAATCTGAGCTTTGATGGATGGATGGACCGTCATCCATGTGATCTCCACTGGGCTGTTCCATCAAAACAATTGATAACACTAGAGATGAGCTGTGTGTGCCTGAGCTGCCCTTTAATACAGAACTATTGAATCATTGGAAATTCTTTCTTATCTAATTGACACCAAATAAAAGAATGATCAACCATCGCAGGAGATGTAGCAAGAATTAGCGATCTTTTCAGAGCTGATGACATCTGAAGATGGAAGACCCGGGACAGGAGGTCACAAGCTGGGGAATCTAAGTCCTTTCTCCCCTTTCCCATGCCTCCTCCCCCTACAAGATGAATTCCTGTGCTTGGTGATTAAAACACATTATACTCTTTCTAGATGGACAGTAGCTAAGGCTCCATTCTTTCATGTTCCCCCCCCCAGCTGAAATTCCTGTGCTCCTTGGGAGCCAAAATCTAATCTGGACTCAGAGCTAAAATCAACCTAATGGGCTTCTTAACTGGAAGGGTTATGCTGGCCTTCAGAACTGGAAATAGAATAAATGCTTGCAGCACTTTACCGGAGCTGCGGCTTTTCCTTTTCCCAGTAGACTTCTCCAAGGGAAATTGAGTCCATATGCTTCTGATCCATCCTCTCAAAACCCATCAAGCCTATGTTTTACTAGAGCGTCTTGATGGAGCATTTTATCTATTTCCAATGAACCCTTTGATGTCTCTTTTCTTATTCATGGAAAACTGAATTTTCAAAAAAGACAAAGATAAACTCTCTCACCCTCCTCACATCCAAAGAGAGAGGGAAGGAAGGAAGGAAGGAAGGAAGGAAGGAAGGAAGGAAGGAAGGAAGGAAGGAAGGAAGGAAGGAAGGAAGGAGCTTCTATGAACAGAAAAGTCTGGAAAATTGCTCAGGGTTTTCCTGACTAAATTAAAACATCTTGGTAAGAAAAGGAACTATCAGAAGAGCATTTGAAGAAGCTCTGTTTTAGAATTTGCATGTTTGTTTGCTTTGAGACAAGGTTTCACTGCGTCACTCTAGCTGGCCTGGAGCTCACAAAGATCCACCTGTGCTGTATCAAAAGCACATCCACTCCATCTGACCTTCTGATCATCCTTTAAACAGATACCCTCACCTTCATCTGAGGCTGGTTTATTCCCTTTCTCCTTTCTAAAATGCCGTGTGGAGGAGAGTTCAGTGAGAGGAGGGAAATTCATACACACAGCGAAATGCTTAAGAAAGGAAGGATTAAATGGTGCAGCACAGGTGCACACCTTTAATCCCAGCACTCTGGAGGCGGAGGCAGGTGGATCTCTATGAGTTAGAGGCCAAACTGGTTTACAAGAGCTAGTTCCAGGACAGGCTCCAAAGCTACAGAGAACCCCGTCTCGAAAAAAAAAAAAAAAAGAAAGAAAGGAAAGGAAAGGAAAAAAGAAAAGAAAAGAAAGAAGAAAGGAAGGGAGAGAGGGAGGGAGAGAGGGAGGGAGGAAGAACTTAGAAAATTTAATTTTGAACTGTTTATATTTTCTTTCTCTACATCGACCTTTTATGCTATTTATATCTTATCATACTCTTTATGGTTCTGTTTTCCTTTAATGAGATTCTAGCAAAATCCTGGATTTTGATCCAGGCAGAGCTAACATATTTGAATTAAAATCTTGGCCATCAAGATTGTATAAGACGTATAAGATTGCACATGCTTCTCTATAAAAACAAACCAATGTGTACGCAACATGCAGCTCCCGTGTATGCTTTCTCATCAGGGTCTACATCGCATCTGAAGAATAAAATGTAAGATAGGATTGCCACTGGTGGGCTGCCCAGCCCATCGCTTGTCCCAAATTGTTCTTCAAGTGCCATTGACTGACATCTGTAGACAGCTGTAATGGGATCTAGGGATAAAGGCCGATGTAACGCTTTGGGAATAAGGAACATAATAACTAATTCTCACCTCCTACTTTTAGGTCAAGTCCACTGGTGACTGCATTTTAGGAGGCAGCTTTGTCCCAAAGTCTAGGTGTTAATGAATGAGAAAGACTGTTTGCATCTTCCTGTGCAAGAGGGAAGGAGAAAGCAAAATGAGCAACAAAGCCCATGCCAGTCATTAGATCAGCTGGGAATGCTCGTCTCGACGAAACTATGGACATGTACACCAACCCAGACTGAAGAGATGGCCTCGCCAGGGAAGCGCTTGCCATGCAAGTGTGATGGCCTGAGTCAGACCCCCAGCCCCCACTGTCCAAGGAAAAAATTCAAATGAGGCAGTGTATATGTGTAATCTCAGGTCTGGGGAAACAGAGCTAGGATACTTGCTGTCCAACCAGCCTAGCCAATCAGCGAGCTCCAGGTTGTGTTTGAGACCCTGCCTCAAAAAATCAGATGGAAAACATTGGAGGAAGACACTTGACACATTGACGTCTAACCTCTATATTCATGCACACACACATGAACACATAAGTACATAAGCACAAAAATATTAAGAATTCTTTAAATGTATGCCATCAAAAGTTTAAGAGATTACAGTCACCCAGTGAGCAAAACCTTACAGGAAGATAGCCAGTTAGCTAGCCTGGCAATAGTAAGGGACCCCAGTTCCTACTGAAGTGCCTGAGGTGCTTAGAACACTGGATTTAAGGCAGAACTGACTCCCAGGCATTGAATTGCAGGCCTTTCATGTGAAATACCTCCTTAAATGTTATACCCTAGGTGTCTGTGGTAGTTTGACTGTAATTGGCCCCCATAAGCTCATAGGGAGTGACACTATTAGGAGGTATATCTTTTTGGAGTAAATATGGCCTTGCTGAAGGAAGTGTGCCACTGTAGGGGTGGGCTTTGCGGTCTCAAAAATGCTCAAGCCACATCCAATGTTCAGTTCACTTCCTGTTGCCTTTGGATCGAGATGTAGAATTCTCCAGTACCATAATCCCAGATGTCATACTCCCTGTCATGATGATAATGGACTAAACCTCTAAAACTAAAAGCCACCTCAATTAAATGTTTCCCCTTATAAGAGCTGCATGGTCATGGTGTATCTTCACAGCAATAGAAACCCTAAGACAGTGTCTAACCCTCTTCCTTTAAGATCTACCCATGTAACCTATCCTCTGACTCTTCCCCATTCAAATCGAATCTTGACCTTGCCCCCACTGGAAAAACACAACTTTTATGTGTGGCAGATACTGGTTAGTAACTCACCAAGCTGTTTCTTGGTCCTGGACACTTTTGGGTGGATCCTTGACCTCTTTTGTGACATAGTGAAACGCAGACAGACGAAAGTGACCTAAGTCCTAAGTCCCAATGAGTGCCTGGAACATAGCCCTGCCCTAGCCACCCTGCCTCTATGCCACAGTGACAATAACAAGACAGGCACTGATGTTTTAAGCCATGCCTTTTGGCAGGTACAGTGGTATGTGCAATTTGTTAATCTTTCCTGATTATCGCTATATTTGATAATTCTCCAAAAAAAAAATCTATTCTTAAAGCAAAAAATTCAGACCTTAAAGCCAATGTCACCAGTATAGACATTTGCTGTATGATCATATTCTAAAGGTCCCTAACATCTTTTTAACTTAAGTGCCGCATCCACTAAGACCCCATATTTGAGTGTCGCTTTCAAGTAAGGAACCTTAAAGCACCTCAAAGACCAATATGCTAATGACTTGGTTCCATACCTTGCTCTTAGGGCTTTATGGGACAGTTACATTTCGTAATTTGCGGGCAATACTTTACACCCCATGAGGTGTATATGAGGAGGGGAGCTGCTGTCAACCCTTTGGTCTAAATGAATATATCATTTCATTTCTGGGAAGGAGAGGTGTGCTCGGAGATTTAGGGCTGCTAAGGGAACCAGGAGAGCCCATTAGCAGGACAAGAGGAGCTGAAGGCATTTGCTGCAAATGAGACCCTTCAAATCACATCTCAGTGAAACCTCACCCATTGTTAACTGCTTTTGTAGCTGAAGAAGTTGAAGTTATGGGGTGGAAGGGGCTCACCAAACATCTCAATTGATTCCTTCCTGATTTTTAACTCGGTGCCTATGGGCTCTAGAGCCTGCCTCTTTGTTACCATGAGAGCAATGTCTGCTACTTAGGAATGGGGACAGGGCCTAGAGATGGGACACGGGAGGAAGAGTGGCAATCTGAATGAGAACAGCCCCTGTAGGCTCACACAGCCAAATGCTTAGTCACCAGGGAGTGCCACTATTTGAAAGGATTGAAAGGATTAGGAGGTGTGGGCATATTGGAGGAAGTGTGTCACTGACTGTGGCCTTGGAGCTCACACCAGGCCCAGTGTCATTTGCTCTTCCCGTTGCCTATAAATTTGGATGTAGATGTTGCCCGCCACCATGCTGATAATGGGCTAAACCCTTGGAAACGATAAACATGTCTCAATCAAATCTTTTCTTCTCTAAGAGCTGCTCTAGGCTTCAGAGCAATGGAGCACTATGACAGCTGTTCTGGACCAGAAGCGTTTCTTCCTTCCTCGTGATGACTGTCCATCCCTGTGCAATGGCGTGTCTTCCTTTCACCTGTTGGAGGAAACCAGACATTCCCTTTGTTGCTCAGTGAGTCAGACCACCTGCTCCTCAGGGCCCTGGATGTCCTTGCCTTCCCCCATGACTCCCGGTTCACTCAGGGCAGACTTATGGCACACGGATGTCAATTTGGCTTGAATTGCACAATCGTTGCTGACATTTCGTTAACCACCCTGTGAACTTCTCCAGCCCAAAGTCGCAGCAACTTGTGCCCTTGAACACCGAACAGAAAACAACCATATTGATTTTCTACTATCAACAAGGAAGAGACAATCTGTCTGTGCTGAGACTGTTCATAATGCATTTCAGCCGGCTCCTTCTTTCTCAGCAGCTGGCCTCCTCCCGACACAGGCCTGGGCTGCTTTCACCTCCTACTGCTTAGGTCTCTGCCAGAATTAACCCTGAAGTGCTAGTGCCTTCTCAAGGTTTCCCCATTCCTGGATGTTCCGGAATCAGCATAAATGGTGTTTTGCAAACAACCCGATGAGATGAAGGAGTTAAGACCACTTAGAGGTCACACCTGACCCCAGGAAGCAGGTCTGCAAGAATCTCTTTTAGCAAAATGCCTGTTTCAAAGACTGTGTCATTTGGCTATATTAAAAGCATTATTTGTGTGCATATGGGTTGTTGCCTATACAAATTGAAGCGTCAGACCATCAGACAGTATATTGTATCCATTGTATCACCAAGTTCTGATGTATGAGTTATTATTCTGACTTACTAGAAATGAAGCTTCTTTCAACCTGCCTTACATCTGAGACATTTCCTGATAACTTTGTTTTTGACTCGTCCCATGTACCGAAAAGGAGGTGTGGGGGACTGAAAGAGATACAGGAACCTTGAAATAGCAAGCCTGGGCCACTGGGACAACTGTAGTGTCAAAATCAGTCAATATTTATGCCTAGCAACCTTGACAATATCCTTTTAATTAAAATCAATGGAGAAATAAAACATGCATTAGAATGCACTGGGGACCACTCACCTTGGGAGGGGGGAGTCCAATATGTGAGGCATAATCTTAAGAAGAGCCTCTCTGCCAACACAGATAATTCCAGTCATACGCATGGTATACCTACAAGACACGTAGTCCCTTGTTGGGATGTGAATTCGATGGCTGTGAATCTCTTCTTGCAGTGATCTCTTTCTTGCAATTCTCAGAAGCACATTTCACTTTACTTATTTATTTGTTTGTTTGTTTGTTTGTTTGTTTTTGTCCTTTTATGTTTGTTTGTTTCTCTATGAGTTTGTTTTCCCCTGGGTACAATTCTCCTGAGATGAGTATTTAAAGAAAATCTTAAAAACTCAAATCATACATTCCTTGGATGCATACGAGAAACTGGATTTTATGGAGAAATTGAAAGCTTCCAGTTTAGAGACAAGCATTGTTTGTAGAGATCTTTCTTCAGGTATCTAATGACTTTGGGTGGAGATGGGGGCAGTTAGGAGCATCGTCTTTATTAAGTCTCAGTCACACCTTCTATGACGTAGGATAAACGGTCTTAACTCAGGAAGACCTCTCCCTGGTCTCCAGGAACACTCTTAACCAAGTAGTGATAGAAACTAGTAGCCCCCTCAGGTCATAGAACATGCCTTACTTAGAAAGTGCACCTCTCCCATTTAATCCTGCCTGAAATCCATGAGCTATGATCCATTATTAATGCCATTTAACTCCAACTGAAGCTGGAGAGATGGAACTTCCCTCAAATGCCATCTAGCTGGTAAGTGGCCAAGGTCTGAACACATTATCACAACCCAACCCACACCTCCTTTGTGTCTGTAGAAAGTAGACGGGTCTCAGGCTTAGAATGTGTCATCTTCTTCACCCCACAGATGTTGAAGGGAGTTCTGTTATTATATCCAACTCCCCCAGTTCTCTACAGCTCCGTAGTTTGGGGAGGTGTCACTTCACCACCTCAGGCCGTACCCAATGGTTCAGACTACCCCAGACATACACCAAGACAACTCTGAGCTGTATCCTACTACGATTCCAAAGGCTTTGATGCAGGCAGGCTTCGCAGTGACCGGGTGAGTTGTCCAAGAATAGAAGGCAATTTAACACTGTCCTCTTTGGCCTGGCTGTGTAGATTGAGCATCAGATATACACACTTTATTTAAACCTGAATCCTAGGGGGACAAGGGGGTCTTAATGTTTGTTTTTCTCCTGCATCTGGAGTCCTCTCAGATTACAGAAAGCTGCCTCCAGTGTTTGCAAGATGGCTGTCAGCTTTGTTAAAAGCTTCCCGCCCTTATCTCATTTCCTAATCATGGAAGACTGATTTGAGAGGCTTCATCACTGCTGTTTCCTCCTCATTGTCTGCGAGGCTTCAGAGATCCACGAGTGTCGGGCTAATTAGTGAAAAGGCTTTGTGGATGTGTTCCTCCCAAATTATGGACTGTTCTGATTAGATGGGTAAGCAAATGGCTTGACCTCTGAGTCAGGGAGTCCCTTCCAAATCATTCCAGGGATTCAACCATTAATGTCAATAGAGAAGAAGGAGGCCGAAGCAGTCCTAAGAAGGAAAGCAACAGTGAGTAGCTGCTAAGGCAGTGGTGCTCAACATGTGGGCCACGTGGATTGCATATCAGATATCCTGCATATCCGATACTTACATTACAATTCATAACACTAGCAAAACAACAGTTAGAAGTAGCAACAAAAATAATTTTATGGCTGGAGGGGGGTGTCACCATAACATGAGGAACTATATTAAAGGGTTGCAGCATTAGGAAGGGTGAGGACCACTGTGCTAGGACCATTCCTCCTGTATCCCCAAAGGCTTTGGAAGCCAGGCCCAGTTCATAAGTTCTTACCTTGTCAATTTCCATCACTTGGAAGGTTCCACCAGCTCCCTCTTGCCTATACGTCCCTGTCCCTCACTGTGTAACCGCCTTCTCCCAATCCCTACACAACTCACTGCTGTTCCCAACCCAATACTAGCCTTGGGCATTTCTAAGATTTATGTTCACTTTTAAAAACATTTTTTAAAAAAATATTTTTGATGATAAAATGCATTTTTGTAAACTTTGGTAGATTTTCCCCATAAAGATAAGAGAAGCATAAAATTTCTCTATTCTCTTATGTAGTACTAGGATCCCCAGGTATGGTCCCCAAAATAATGTTAAGAAGGTAGTAAAATTGAAAAAAGGAAAATAGAGCTGCTAGCAACTTTAGGATCTCAGAATAGCATGTCGGAATGTTCCCTGCTTTCTCTAGCTCCAAACTCAAGAGGCTAACACACCAGAATGGCCAATCAGCTGGAAGAACACAACACAAATTTGTTCCACTGGGATGGCCAACTGACAGAGGAAATAGCGTAAACTGGTTTCTAGCCACAGGTAGGGCTAAGGGAGGGGGGAAACTATAAAACAAACAAGAAAACCCACACTCACACAAACATACATAAACACACACACACACATGCTTTTAAACAACAGTAGCACTATAGAGAAAAAACAATGACCCTGTGTCCTATGGAGAAAACAAGATGTCTATAATAAGAATCCAGATTTTCTCAGGGAACTGGTATTAGAAAAATCAAGTGGAACCGGATGGTGGTGGCGCACACCTTTAATCCCAGCCCTCGGGAGGCAGAGGCACTGGATCTCTGAGTTCAAAGCTAGTCTTGTCTACAGAGCAAGTCCTAGGACAGCCAGGGCTACACAGAGAAACTCTGTCTTGGAAGAAGAAAGAAGAAAGAGGAGAAGGAGGAAAGAAAAAAATGAAAGAGAAGATAAAATACCAAGTAGAAACTTGAGCTTTTATTCCTGTCAAGAACCCTTCTCCCTACTCCTGCAATGCCAGGAGAGGCTACACGGAGATCTTGGACTTGAACCTCTAACCAGCAGAAGAAGAGCCCCTGACTGTTCCCTTCTTGGGTGGTGCTGAAAGAGGGTTTGTGAAGAGTCAAGACCGTCAGAACGGTACAGCAGAAAAAGGCCAGTCTGCTCCCGTACGAAGCCGGGGGGACCTTGTGGGAAGCAGCACAGATTCCCAGTGACGGGCTCCTGGGAGCCCTTTGACTCTCTCTCACAACAGTGAGGACCCCATCCTATCCAAAGGTGAAGTAGACCAGAAAGGATCCTGTACCCTGTTTATAACCAGACAATTGCAGGAGAAGACAATCTTCATCTCCCGCCAAAACGACGTTGGAGAAAACCAGCTAGAACAGAAGGTTGCAATGAGATCATGAGCTTTGGAGGGGGGTGTCTTAGTTTGTCACAGAATATTTGTTCATATTGTGTGAAGATTTGTCACGGCAATTCATTTAGCAGAGAGCTGAATGGCCAAGAGTTAGGCAGGAGAGAATAGGCAAGATTTCCAGAGAGAAAGAAAACTCTGAAAAGAAGAGAGGCTGGGATTTTTCAAGCAGACTCAGAGCACATAGGATGTGCCATACTGAGGAAAGGCAGAACACAGATTAATAACCTAATAGTTTGAGTTTTAAGAGTTAGTTGGGAACAAGCCTAAACTAAAGGCCAAGCTTTCATAATTATTAAGAAGTCCCTGTGTTGTTATTTGGGGCCTGGCAACCCAAAGATAATCCAACAAGAAAGCTTGCCACATTAGTTAGGTTTTTTTGCTGAAAGAGGCACCATGACCGTGGCAACTCTACTAAAGGAAAACATTTAATTGGGATGACTCCCTTCCAGTCCAATATCATCATGGTAGACACGGCAGATGCCAGCAAACATGGTGCTGAAGCTGCTACATGTCAGCATGCAGGCAACAGGAAGTAGACTGTCTCACTGGTCACAGCTTGAGCATATATGAGACCTCAGAGCTTGTCTCCAAAGTGGCACACTTCCTCCAACAAAACCACACTTACTTCAACAATGCCACATTTCCCATTAGTGTCATTCCCTTTGGGAACACTTTCTTTCAAACTACCAAAGGGGTTTTATTTTTTTTTTCTTTTTTTTTAAATTTATTTATTAAATATTTCTGTCTCTTCCCCACCTCCGCCTCCCCTTTATGTATACATATTAGAGTACTACTCAGCAGTAAAAAACAAGGACTATTTGAAGTTTGCAGGCAAATGGATGGAAATAGAAAACACTATCCTGAGTGAGGTAAGCCAGACCCAAAAAGAGGAACATGGGATGTACTCACTCATNAAATGGATGGAAATAGAAAACACTATCCTGAGTGAGGTAAGCCAGACCCAAAAAGAGGAACATGGGATGTACTCACTCATATTTGGTTTCTAGCCAAAGGGGTTTTAAAGACAGGTTTTCTCTTCGTAGCCCTGACTGTCCTGGAACTCCATCTATAAACCAATCTGGCCTTGAACCCAGAGACGTGCCTGCTTCTGCCTCCCCAGTCCTGGGATCTAAGGCATACACCACCAAGCTTGGGTATAAATATTCTTTTTAAAAATTGAAAAATAAATTAGAAATAAACAAAAAAAACTCTTAGAGAGAAAAAAAGAAGAAATGTAAAGAATGAATATATGCATGTTTTAGAATTAAAAAAAATATGATAAATAAAAGGCTAAATATACCAAATGGCTTTTTCAGGTCAGTGGAGGGATCAGGTGAGAAAACGAGCAAGTCTGAAGATGCCACCAAGGGCTGATTTACATGCACTGAAAAGAGATGAAAGTACAAAGAAACATTCCAGGAAGCAGTGAGGCTGTGACAAATACCTGACATGTCTTCGCTAAGTTCTTGAAGAAGCAGAGAAGCAAAACTGAAAGGGTACTCTAGGAAACGACAGCTTTGAAACGTCCCACCTTGGAAGAACACCTAAACTACAGATGCAAGCTAAATTCAAAGAAATTGGTACAAAACCATCATGTGCAAACTTCTAAAAGTAAAAGACCCCTGCAAAAACTTTGAAAGCAGATTAACAAAAAAATTTAAATGAAGTTTATTTCTCATTAGAGACCAGGGAGAAAAATAAACAAAACAAAACAAAAACAACAACAAAAACATTTACACAGCTCAAGGGAAAGAACTGGCATTTTGGTACTTTATATCTAAAGAATGAAGAGTGCCATATCTGTCATTCCCACACTTGAGAGGTGGAGGCAGAATCCAGAGCTCAAGTCAGCCGCAACTGCATAGCGACTTCCAGGCCAACTTGAACTAAAAACAAACAAAAATTAACAAAACCAAAAAAGCATAAAGAGAAAATCAAGGCGTTCAGCAAAGCTAAGAGAATTTGTCACTGGCAGACAAACCTTAGAAACTAGATAAGGTCCCCAGATGCAAAATTTATGTAAGTACCTAGAAGAGATAGAATGCAAGGTGAAGATTTTACACTTTCACCCTTCAAACTGGTAAGATGGCAACATCATGGATGGTACGATGTATCTATGAAATACAAGTCTTATGTAAGCTACCATATCATCAGCAAAAAGTAGAGTTTGACTTCAATTCTACCAGGGAACTCATATAACTGATAAACACCCTCAGTAATGTAGCATAATACAAGATTAACACAAAAATAATGGGTAGCCCTCTGCTATACAGATGATAAATGGGCTGAGAAAGAAATCAGAGAAACATCACCCTTCACAATAGCCACAGATAACATAAAATATCTTGGAGTAACTCTACCCAAACAAGTGGAAGGCCTGTATGACAAGAACTTTAAATCTTTGAAGAAAGAAATTGAAGAAGACACCAGAAAATGGAAAGACTCCCAAGCTCTTGAGTAGGTAGAATTAACATAGTAAAAATGGCAATCTTACCAAAAGCAGTCTACTGATTCAATACAATGTCCATCAAAATCCCAGCAAAATTCTTCACAGACCTAAAACAAACAATATTCAACTTCATAAGGAAGAGCAAAAAACCCAGGATAGCAAAACAATCCTGTACAATAAAAGAACTTCTAGAGGCATCACAATCCCCAACTTCAAACTCTATTACAGAGCTACAGTGCTGAAAACAGCCTAGTATTGCTATAAAAACAGACAGGAGAGCCAATGGAATCAAATTGACGACCCAAATATCAATTCACATATCTACAAACATCTAATTTTTTTGTCAAAGAAACAAAAAATATAAAATGGAACAAAAAAAAGCATTTTCAACAAACGGTACTGGCATAACTGGATATATATAGAAGAATGAAAATAGATAACTGGATATATATAGAAGAATGAAAATAGATCCATATCTATTACCATGTACAAAACTCAAGTCCAAATGGATCAAAGACAGCAACATAAAACCAACCAAACTGAACCTCACAGAAGAGAAATTGGGAAGTACACTTGAACACAGAAGGCCACATCCTAAATATAACCCAAGTAGTTCAAACACTAAGAAAAACAATTAATAAATTGGACCTCACAAAACTGAAAAGCTTCTGTAAAGCAAAGGACACCATCAACAAGACAAAATGACAGCCTACAGAATGGGGAAAGATCTCCACCAACCCCACATCAGACAGAGGGCTGATCTCCAAAATATATAAAGAACTCAAGAAAGTTATCATCAAAAGAACAAATAATCCAATAAAAAATGTGGTGCAGACCTAAACAGAGAACTCTCAACAGAGGAATCTAAAATGGCTGAAAAACACTTAAGAAAATGCTCAACATCCTTAGCCATCAGAGAAATGAAAATCAAAATGACTGAGATTTCATCTTACACCAGTCAAAATGGCCAAAATCAAAAATACTGGTGACACCTTATGCTGGAGAGATTGTGGGGTAAAGGGAACACTTTTGCATTGGTGGTGGGAGTGTAAGCTGATACAACTGCTTTGGAAATCAATATGACAATTTCTCAGAAAGTTAGAAAACAACCTACCTCAAGACCCAGCAAAACCACTTGGGGTATATACCCAAAACATGCTCAACCATACCACAAAACAGCATTGTTTGTAATAGCCAGAACCTGAAAACAATCTAAAATCCTCTTTACTGAAGAATCATTGAGGAAAATGTGGTACATTTACACAATGGAGTACTACACAGCGGGAACAAATAATGGTGTCTTGAAATTTGCAGGCAACTAGATGAATCTAGAAAACATTATATTGAGTGAGGCCAGACTCAGAAAGACAAACAAATATAATATGTACTCACTCATAAGTGACTTGTAGACATAAAGAAAAAAAAGCCTACAATTTACAAGCATAGAAAACCTAGACAACAAAGAGGAGACTAAGAGACACATACATGGATCTAATCTACATGGGAAGTAGAAAAAGACAAAATCTCCTGAGTATATTGGGAGTGTGGGGATCATGGGAGAGGGTAGAAGGGGATGTGGGAGGAAGAAAGGGGAGTGGGAGAAAATATAACTCAATAAAAATAATAAAAAAGAAATATAAGTCTTAAAGAAAACACTAAAAAATATCATAGATTAAAAATAGACTCAAAACGTAATAGAATAAATTAAACCAGAATTTAAAAAAAAAAAAAGTTAAAAATAAGCCACAGGAGGCCAGAAAAGTAAAGCAGAGGAACAAAACCAGAGAATAAATCATGAACACAGAACAAAGTGTCAGACTTTTCTGTTTTAAATATCATAATCAATTAATAATTGTGCTCTCTGTAAATACCTAGAATTTTTCAATAAAAAAAAAAAAAAAAACTGGCAGAGTGGCTTATAACGCCTGGTTGCAGTCTATGCTGTCTATATGAAACCACAGTCATACCCATATTCTAAACATGTTCAAAGTAAAATAGAAATGTATTATGAAAATATTAAAACAGAAAATACCCACGTTAAAAGTAATTAGACTTCAGAGAAATATCAGAAACTGAAAAGCACACTCTATAATGATAAATGGGTCAATTTACCAAAAAGATTCAATAAGACTAAATGTGTCACCTATCAAGAGATCAAATAATTCTGTTCCAAGTGACCTTTCCCCAGGGCAATATCATTTCAGCTTGTTCTGAGCCCCATTGTTGGGCCCAGCTCCCAACCCCAGCAGACATTTGCCACTGAGAACCAGATGCCACCTGTCAGAATGGGTGAGTGACCTTCCTGACAGCAGAACTGCACCCCCCCCCCACTCTGTCCCTCTGAACACTTCCTGAGGCCTATACCACTCAACTAGTTCCTGGCTCCTCTGCTGGGCCCCCCACCAACCCCAGAAGAATTCAGTCCAGCAGGCCCAGAATACACCAGCCAGGACCAGTGAATGACCTGCCTATCAGCAGAACTTCACCCCTCCTTAGATTCTGTTCCCACAACTGGTGAGTGACTCCTCGGCCCTGTAATCAGCCTCCTTTCATCTAAACACCAGCACCATTGTTGTGTCCTGTTATAAGTGGCTGCTTGTTTGTTCCTGGCTGCCCAGAACCAAAATAATCACACAGAAACTATATTATTTAAATCACTGCTTGGCCAATCACTTAAGCATATTGCTAGCTAGCTCATATATGTTTAGTTAATCATTTCTATTATTTTATATTTTACCATGAGGCTCAGGGTTTACCAGCAAGGTTCCAGTGCATCTGTCCCTGGTTGTAGCTACATGGCGTCTCTTTGACTCCACCTTCTTTCTCCTACCATTCAGTTTCGTTTTCCCTGCCTTGCTCTGTTCTGCACTGCTATAGGCCCAAAGAAGTTTCTTTATTAACCAATGGTAATCACAACATACAGAGGAGAATCCCATATCACCTCCCCTTTTCTGTCTAAATAAAAAGAAAGGTTTTAATTTTAACATAGTAAAATTACATATAACAAAACAGGTATCAAGCAAGAATTACAGTTACAATATTTATATTTACTTTATTATTTTTCATAACTAAGGAAAACTATAACTATTTCTATTCTTCAATTCCATCAAAGACATAATAAAAAGATATAGTATTACTTAAGATATATTACTTAGGGCTGGAGAGATGGCTCAGAGGTTAAGAGCACTGACTGCTCTTCCAGAGGTCCTGAGTTCAATTCCCAGCAACCACATGGTGGCTTACAGCCATCTATAACGAGACCTGGCGCCCCCTTCTGGCTTGCAGGCACACGTGGAAGGAA